TAAAAATATTTTGCTCTTGTAAGTAATTAGCAAAAGTTTGAATTTTAACATTTATGATTGACAGTACAGCATTTATCTTCTTTTTTATTATGTAGACTGCCAACAGACACTATTTTGTCAGAATACAGCATGAATTATCTAAAGAAGAAAAAAAAGTTTAAAGAGTTGACTAGTCTATGTTACGCTGTCACTGGTATTCTTATTAGCTTAATAATGTGTTTGATTAATTAAAAATTAAAAATGATGTTTTTTAATTTTTAATTAATCAAACACATTAGTAGGCTTAAAATTTAATTTCTTTGGCTATGGAACATGACATGTATTCAAGTGTATGTATACATGACATTTTTTTCTAATGATCTTTTTGAAACATGTTTTGTTGTTTTTATTAGAAGCTGCTTTAAAGTCAAATAAAAACTTAATCAAAATGGATACCATCCAACTTATTGGAAAAGTAATTAGGCATTCTTCTGACCGAATAAAGAGAACATCCACTAATATGGATTTCGATCAATGATGGCTTAACTGTTGTATTTTATTTATTTTTTTCCATTTTTAAGCAATTTTCTTCTATTTATAATGCACTATCGATTATATTCTACTGTACCTATTAGTTTTTAATTTGAAAATGTAACTTTGTTTGAAAAATTATTCTTATTTTTTGTAAAGTTATTAATTTATTTTAAATATATCAAATTACACTTTATTTACATTGATTTCTTTTTATAACTTCCCTTGCCTAGATTAAGGCAAATCTAAGGTTTGTGTTGTAAATCATTGCATATATATATATTTTTAAAAGAATGTCTTGGTAAAATTTAAACGTCTCTTGGACATCTGAAAAAGACGTCCTTAAGTCTTTAAAATTAGACCAGCCAGAGATGTCTCTAGAACGTCAAAAAACGTCTCTAGGACGAATTAAAAAGACGTCTTTAGGATATCTGGAATAGACGTCCTCAAGCCTTTCATTTGAGACCAACTAAGGATGTCTTACGGACGAGACTTTAGGCGTCTTACGGACGTTCTTAGGACGTCAAAATGCCCGCTGGGAAGAGACAATAAACTTACTTATGTCTGATATGATAGATTATTATATTGTATCATTTAATTTCTTTTTACTAGAAAAATTAACATGGCTTGAACAATAATATATATACTATATATAATATAGCTATATTATATAATTTTCTGAAATCCACGCAAATATATTTTTTATTGTTAATTAAGTTTTGCGTGTTTAATTTCATATAATATTTTATATACAGTCCAGTCAGTTGCAACAACAATTAAAGCAGCAGGAAACAACCAAGTACACATGCAAGTGGTAAATTGATTTTTTGTGACGTTTTTACTCCTTTAAAGTTTAAATTTTCCTAAAATAATAATTAATTTAATGGCTATTTCTGTAAAGATCATTCTGTAAATAAAAACTGCAGTGATTTTTAAAACTAATAATTTTTTTTTTAGTAATCACAAAATATACTGCAAATTCTGTTCTATTAGATATGATTCTAATAGTTGAACATCTGTAAGATGTTTACCTTTTAAATCATTATCTAATTGCTCAGGCTTATGAAAAGTTATTTATAAAAATTCAACGTATAAAAATAATGTAAGATTAAAGGTAATTCCTGTTATATTTGAAAGGTATGTTGATGATCGGTTCGAGTTTTTAAAGTTTAAATTAGTTAAAAGAGAATTCAAATTGTTCTGTTTTTATCTTATGCTCTATATCTAAAAGCTATTGTATAATTTATTGCATTATTTTTCATTTATTTTATTATGTTATGAAAGACCTACCAAACTTGAAATTTTACTGGTTGAAATATATAGTATGTATATGTATATCATCCCTTGGAATTAGGAAAACTAAAGTTACCAAAAAAAGTTAAAAAAATAGACGAATAAACTTATTTTTAATTATTATTAATTTGTAAGTAAACTTATTAAGTTCACTTACAAATTAATGTTATGTGTTGATGTACCTTCAACCAAATTAGTGTTAACATTTTAGGAAAATGTCATATTGCCAGGCTGTTTGGTTGGAAGTACCAAAAGCTTGATATTTTATTGAGTTGTTATTTTAGTTTGTGATATTATAATTTTTATTCACAAAATGTTTAATAATTTACTTTTTAAATTTATTTGTCATTGCTTTTGATATGATGTTTTGTTATTCCTTTACAGACAATAAGAATTGCAAAAGTTTTAAATATCAGAAACTGAAGAAGAAATTGATAATTAGCAGATAACAAAAAAGCGCAAAAATACTGATTATACAACTCTTTTAAAGGTTTAATTGTAATTTGTTAATGTTTATATAGAAACTAATAATATATAAGCTAAAAATAATAACATAATTAATCCATAATTGTGCATTATTCTAATCTAAATTAATTTAATATTACTTGTTTACTAGTTACTAATGCAATAACAGTAGAAATGATTATGGAAAAATTAAACTAAAAATTAAATAAATCGCTTGTAAAATAATATTATATATATATATATATATAAATATATATATATATATATATATATATATATATATATATATATATATATATATATATATATATATATATATATATTTATATATATATAATATATATTATATAATATATATATAAATAATATTATATATATATATATATATAATATTATATATATATATATATTATATTATATATATATAATATATATTATATAATATATATATATATAATATAATATATATATAATATATATATATATATATATATATATATATATATATATATATATATATATATATATATATATATATATATATATATATATATATATATATATATATATATATATATATATATAATATTATATATATATATATATATATATATATATATATATATATATATATATATATATATATATATATATATATATATATATATATATATAAAGCAAGTTTTATTTAGTAATTGATTAACCATTTTTATGGTATAGTAAAATAGTTTTTCTTTTTCAGTTGAGGAAGAATTTATGTGGAATGTTAATGCAAAAGGTACAAATATTGACAGGTTAGCTAATTTGATGTTACAATAAACATGAAATAAAGTTTGTTAAGACCTTAGTTCCAAAAATACTTGCATACATTATTCATGCATGCTATATTATAATATAGCATGAATGCATTCAAGTATAAAAAAAAAGTTACAAATGTTTAATTATACAAAAAGGTTATTTATGTGGTACCGCAAGTATATTCAATTGATTATGTAAGTAAGTATGTATGTACTTTACATCTTTGAAGACTAATAATAATTGTAATGAACATATCTCAAACAATATACACTCGGATTTACATTTTAGTCAAACCATCACCACCTCCACAGCCACCTTATCTCAAGCATTCAATTGCATTCTAAGTTATCTTTATTCAAATCAAGTGTGACTACTATACTAAAAGACTGTAGAATGGGCCAATCAAGTAAGATGTCAAAATTTATATCTTTTATATAGAACTCTTTTACTTTTAGATAAACCTCTTAATTTTATGACTTATGAACATATTTAGCAATGTAAACCTTTTAGGATAGACTTTTTAAAATCAAATTTACATTGTTTTAGTAAATTTTTATTTAAAATAACTTTGTATACATAATATATCTATATAGTTATTTACATTGTAGCTAACCCATCAGTACTTGCAAAGTCTTCTTTTCTGTAAGCCCGAAATTTGAGTTCTAAAATACCATTATCCACATAACTACTATATCAAAGCACAAACTAATGGATTGATCAAGTAATACTTAATTTTTACCTTGAGTTGTATGTTATATATATATATATATATATATATATATATATATATATATATATATATATATATATATATATATATATATATATATATATAAATATATAAATATATATATATATATATATATATATATATATATATATATATATATATATATATATATATATATATATATGCATATATATTTACATATATATATATATATATATATATATATATATATATATATATATGCATATATATTTACATATATATATATATATATATATATATATATATATATATATATATATATATATATATATATATATATATATATATATATAAAATGAGTAGCCTCCTCGAATGTAGTGGCCCCCTCGGGCCTGGTGAATAATTATATATATATATATATATATATATATATATATATATATATATATATATATATATATATATATATATATATATATATATATATATATATATATATATATATATATATATATATATGTTGTACAGATATTGTTATAAAGTAATAGAATACTTTATAATATTGTATTACTATGTTTAGGAAGGGCACTGCAGTTGTCTTGCAGTTATGCAACTTATCAACCCATAACTGCGATAACTGCAAGTTTTTTTAATAAGGTTTTTATTATATAAATATTATATATTTTACAGAGTTGTAAAGAAAAGTTCTCTATCAATTATTACTATAGTTACTCAATGCACACTGTACTAATGTACAATCTTCTATAATCTATAAAACTATGGATTTATAAAGTTGTTAAATGAATGATTTATATGAATAGAATAAAGATGTTTATTGAGTTATTTTTATTATTTTTAGAAAAGAGATTGTATGACTTCGGTATCCGCAATACGGTATCGTGCATTGATTCCCATCTTAGAATGGCTCTCTTCCGTATAGGTGGAAATAGGAAAGGTTATCTCCTTTTTTCCAATTCTTAAAACAAAGAGGCTTAATCGGTTCAAACAAAGATGACGATGATCATTATGGAGCCGATCATAATGAGGAATACGATAATACATATAATAATAAATAAAATGATTTTACTTGTATCTTAAACTTAATCTTAAAAAATACCGATAAACGAATCAAACCTCTTCTTTTATTTAAGCTGCTTTAAATAAGCACCGTAAAAAAAAGTTTAAATAAAAAATTATTTGTTTAATGTTTGATTTGTTTATG